GAAAGTCCAGTTGCCTCTTGAAAAAAGCACCTTTGGGACAAAGATTTGAACGAGCTCTTTTTCCGGGCGTGGAAGAGATGGTAGGTAGCCTTCCACACATAATGTCTCTCCTGCTGGATGGAATGGGAATTCAAAGGGTTCCAGTCCCAACACATCTGAAAAGTGCCAGATTTGGGGAAGGAAAAGAAGCTGCAGTACAAGGAAACAACAATCAATGACTTAATAGTCGGCCATCAACATCCCATCAACAACTGAAAGCTATAACACAACTAAGCACCACATAAATAGGATGCCCAAAAGCACACATTCCGGTAAAGGGAAGTTCCCTGAGAATGGGCTCCAACATGAGTCGGAAAGCTCGGAAGGCTAAATCTCTGGTCCTGGTGGCTGACCCAGATTGGATCCTGCCACGTTATTCCTGGGACAAATGTACAGGTGGTCCTTGACTTATGACCACAATGGAGTCTAAAAGTTATGTAATCAAGTGAGAAATGTAACTGAGTTTTGCAATTTTACAACTTTTCCTGCCACATCTGTTAAGGGAACCATTGTGGTTGCTTAAATTAGTGCAGGTAGTTCTCGACTTGCAATAGTTCATTTAGCGACCATTCAAAGTGACAACGGCACTGAAAAATGTGACTTATGACAATTTTTCACAGTGACGGCCTTTACAGCATCCCCATGATCATGGGATCAAAATTCAGATGCTTGGCAGCTGATTCATATTTATGGCTGTTGCTATGTCCCAAGGTCACGTGATCATATTTGGCAACTTTCTCACACATAAAAGTTAATGGGGAAGCCAGAGTTACTTAACAACCGGGATAGTAACTTACTAATTGTAGCGATTCACTTAGCAACTGTGGCAAGAAAGGACATAAAATTGAGCGAAACTAAATTAACAAATCTTTCACTTAACAACAGAAATTTTGGGCTCAATTATGGTCGCAAGCCGAGGACTCCCTGTAATATGATTAAGTAAATCTGGCTTGCCCCATTGACTTCTGCTTGTCAGAAGGTCGCAAAAGGGGATCATGTGATACCGATTCACTGCCATCGTCATAAATGTGAGTCAGTTGTCAAGCAACTGAATGTACATCACATGACCATGGGGCTTTGACAACAGTTGTAAGTGTGGGAAATGGTCGTAAGTCACTTTTTTCAGTGCCATTGTCACTTCAAACGGTCACTAAACGAAGCGTTGTTAAGTGAAGGACGACTTGAATTTGCCTTCATTCATGTGAAGGTTTATACTGGTAGTCCTCAACTTACAACGGTTCATTGAAAGTTAAAGAGGCACTGAAAAATATGGCTTTGTCACGGTTTTTTACACNTTTTTTTGTGAAAAACAGGGCATACAGAGAGTTTGAGAGGCCTGCAAAGTGCTCCTGGGCGCTAGAGGGCAAAAACAAGCAAAAAACGGCTCGTTTTTACAAAAATGGGTCTGGTTTTTTTTGCAAAAAAACAAGGCATACATAGGCTTTGGGAGGCCTGTAGAGTGCTCCTGGGGGCTGGGTGGGAAGGGAAATGAGCAAAAAAGCCTCATTGTTTGCTCGTTTTTGCCCTCCCCAGGAGCACTTTGCAGGCCCCCCAAACCCTCTGCACATCCATTTTTGCAAAGGATTTCAGGAGGCCAGAAATGCTGTATTTAGTGTATAAGATGCACCCAGATTTTCACCCTCTTTTTTGGGGAGGAAAAGTGTGTCTTATACTCCGAAAAATATGGTATATGCTGTCCATCTCGCTTTCTGAATTATTATTTTATAAAATAACAAAGGCAGGATTAAAAAAATATAATAAACATACTAAACTGGCTTTCTTTTGCACACGAGATCCTGCAAAATCTTTTTAAGACCTATCAGATTTCGGATGTTTATTTATTTAGGGAATGTATACACTGCTTTGGTTTATCTGAATTCTAGGCAGCTTTATAGGGTGTATAGTAAAATAATAACAATCCTGATCACAATTTTATATTCAATAAAATAAAACTAAATCTTAAGTTGTTGACTCCCTAATCCATCCAGAAAAGACCTCAGAAAAATCAGGTTTTTTTAGAACTTTGGGGAAAGCCATAAATATAGGGACCATCTTTACGTGGTATTTCCATAGACAGGAACCCTCTCCACTGAAATCCTCCACCAATGGCCCACCTTCCCTTGCATTTGAGCAAATGTTCTACCATCCAGACAAATAGATAGCCAACCCTTGAGACTGTATCACTCAGGTTGGCTAAAGGGGATAAAAGACCCTCACCCTGATTCAAAGGACCGTATTTTTCGGAGTATAAGACTCTTCGAAATATAAGTCGGACCTAGCTTTTGGGGAGGAAAACAAGAAAAAAATCTGCCCCTACTTTTGCCTCCCAGCAATTTGCCTCCTTGCAGCAAACAGCCTGTTTCAGTTTCAGCACAGCCTGATTAGCACAAGCAGCTGATTGTTGGGTGCACGAAGGCCAAAAATGGGGCGCGGAGGCGACAATAGGCAAGGTCAATCCCTGCAGCCTGAAACAGTTGATGTTAGAGGCTGATCCAACCAACAATCAGCTGCTTGTGCTAATCAGGCTATGCTGAAGCTGAAACAGGCTGTTTGTTATTATTAAAAGAGGCAATCATTAAACAAGCACCATCTCTAATAAGGAATACTTCAGGGTTGAACTATTGAACTGTTGATGATTTCCAAGCTTGGCTGTGAACTCTGAACTGTTACTACAGTTTTACTAGAGGATTTACTCCCCCCAGCCCCAAAAAAATAAATAAATAACCCCATTTCCTTCTTACCACAGCAGTGCTTATAGCCTCCATAGAAAGTTCAGTAAGTTCTGTAGGTTCAGCAGTTTCAACCAGCAATTCTGAACATCCAGGGCAGCAGGGTAGGTGGTGGGGAAGAGAAGAAACAGATTGGTTAAAAGATGAAAAGCCCAAAGGAATATTAAGATACTTGGAGCAGTGCTTCTCAGACATGGCTACTTTAAGATGTGTGGACTTCAACTCCCAGAATTCGACTTTGTGAGTTTATGCTCCCGTGCGTTAAAGTGGCCAAGTCAGGGAAACATAAAAGAGCCGAGGTGGCGCAGTGGTTAGGGTGCAGTACTGCAGGCCACTTTAGCTGACTGTGATCTGCAGCTCAGCAGTTCAAATCTCACCGGCTCAAGGT